CGAAAATGAATTTTTGTGCCATAAACCTGAATAACTTGTAAAACAGTTGGCCACGAAGCTTTACAATCTGGACAAAGTGGATCTAGAAACATTTCGACAACAACATGTGCATCAGCTGGTCCACCAACTCCATATCCATCAGGATGAGATGGTATCGGTACTTGAGCTGATGTATAACCAACAAGAATTACACCAAATAATACAAAAATAGTTTTAAACTCCATTTTGTTGTTTGCTTAAAATTCTTAGTGATAAGTGCAGTATGTTTTTTTGCTTATTTGTCGGTTTTTATACACCAAAGATAAGATAAATATAAAATAATAATATTTGCACATCATCATGACCAGCATGATGATAGTCTTTTTTTGCTTTATCAGGCAACGACAATGTCTTTTGTCGCAACTAGATGTAAAACTTACGAAATTTTTTTGAAATAATTGACATACATTAATAGGCGGCGCAATTTCTATTTTGTTGGCTTTCCTTCAATAGAAAACATTGTAGCAATAAAACTTTTATCGCTTGTATTCAAATTTTTCTCAGAGGCATAATAATGGAAGCTCGAGCATCGCATCTTGTGACAGAGTACTACGTACTTCAAATGAGTGTACCGCTCTTTTTTGAAAGAGTTCCTCAAAGCAATTTAGAAAAAATTCAACTTTGTTTTTACCCATTATCTTCCTTCCGCATAGTGGGCAACAACATGAACATCAGATGCAAAAAATGAAAAGTGAACTTTTTCGAGATTTAAATAGTAATGTGTATACACTTTGATAATAGACCAGTTTTGGGGTTAAAAACATGTTTGAAAAAACTTACTTGTAGTAAAAGTCAAATTGCAACATCCTTAAAACGAAAATATCATTTTTTCATGAAAAATACAAAGAGATAGACAATAAAGCTTAAATAGCCTGAAACAGAGATTGAAATGGCGCAAAGCAAGGCGAGCGAAGAGAGCTTCATTAGTATGTCGCATATACACAATACCATGCAGATCAACTGCTGTCGAGACTTTTTTGGGAGCAAGTCAAGTTGTCAAGTAAAGAACGTCTAATTTAGGCCTAACAGTTGTTCATAATATTTTATTTCTTCGTTCGATAGATAATAATAACCAACTAAAAGGTTGATTGATCTCGACCTATATCATCTCAGTGTTCTTTTGTCTATCTTTTTACATAATGTAGTCAAATAAATCATATGACCAAGAGATACAAACATCTCATAAAGACGTGATGAGGTAGTGAAGAGAAAAATTAAGATTAGAGTGAAGCGGGTAAGAAAGAAAATTATTACAGTCAGATGAGACAAGGACAGCTTTCTTTGACACGAGAAACAAAATATTCTCACTGTTTTGGTCTCTGGTTCAAAACTAGAAATTTTACTGTATTGATTTATCCGAAAAGACATCTTCAGGAAAGTTGGCAGTCATTTTTTTTCACTAAATTCGACATCAACAAGACTTTCAGAGAATGTTTTTCTTCTGTTTGTCAATTTTTAAAATAAAATTTATTTTTCACAGGAGTTTGAGGTAAGGGTTCTTCCTCTATAATTTCTCATCACAAATGTTCTTTTTTCCATCAATCTCATTTTTGAGTACAAGAAGTTAATATTTCTATGAAAAAACAAATCATTTTTGACAGAAAATAAGTCATGCTTATAAACTCGATAAAAGTTGTCCCTTGTGTTCTGTTTAATGACTATTATGTTTTCGTCTTGAGATTCATGTAAAAATTTATCCAAAATTGTAACAATTATTTTTTTCTGGAAAATATTTTAGACATAACGATCAGCAGGATAAAAGATAGGTTTTTCTTTCAACCATTTGTATTTTTAATTTTTGTAACGAGAAAATACAAATAAACTACGAATATCGAATGGCAAACACACTTTTTCTGGTAGCTGACAGTAAAGAAGATTAATCATTGCACCTCGCCCATTAAGCCCTGTTTAATTAGTATTCAATTCCGTTGACCAAGGTCATTAAGTATAATATAATCAGTCTTAAGGAAATGAAAGCCGATTTACTGTCATGCTATTAATCTTGATTCACTGGTTAAATTTGAAGACTGCTTATTGTGACACAGGAAAGGGTTTGAAATAGAGCAATACGGAGTCAAATTTTGTCGACTGCGAAAAACTCTAAAATTTTATTTTTGGCTGGCATATTCAACCGCTTCGCTAATTCATCATACAGATTTAATCTCAATTGTTTTCTGTAATGGTGACTGGCATAAAGAATCTGAATAGGGACTTGAATAAAGAAAATTGTTTCCAACAAGGATTTGAAGAAAAACAACTGGTCACAGTATTCCAAAATTTCAAAATATCTAGAAAATCACAAACCTAGTTTGTCACCACCCAAAACTCGAAAATATAAACTTTTTTTGATTTCACGGGATGACAAAACATCTTCGAGAACTTCGTGACATATTTTTCATGGAATCACATATATTTTAAGAACATCCCAAAAATCTTTTTTTGTCCATTTTTAACTTAGGAAATAGCTAATAAAATCTATCTTTGTGTGTTTCTTAATATCGATCTAGTTCATTTGAAAAATGTTGTTGAAAGATTGAGAGCATTTCATTTTGTAACGAATGAATGTCTTCGATGCTCTATATAATTAAAAGAAACGTGTTTTTGAATTCTGTACCCTGATCAACAAAGTTTTGGGTTTCCTAGAGATTCCAGTATTTTTGGAATACTGTTTGAATTATTACGAAGAAAAAATTGAACCTAAATCTGTCTGGTCACTTTTAACTCTTATTGCGAAAATTCTTTCTCACATAAAATAGCAACAGTTTATCTGTATGACAATATTATGTAATTTAACGGCGCGTGAAGATGATGAAAATGCATATAATGACGACAATTAGAGATATTAAATAGTGCTGACTTTTTTCTTCGCAATCATCATTTGTGAAAGTTAACAGATGTTTTCTTCTATTTTTTTCTTTGATGGTATTCAGTTATCGGATGATGTGCGATGCAGAGACTCAGTTCAAAAACATCAAAATATGGATTATGTATTATTTAAATAATCACATGTCGAATATGTATGAAAGGAAGTGTATTCATCAAAATAACGATAACAATTATCGGAGATTCTGTAAGATTACTGTATCTCCAGTAAAATAGGTAACAGAGAACTTGGAGACATGTCATTTTGTAGAGAATTGTTTTTTCTCTCATTCTATATGGTCTAAAGTGAATTATAGGTACCCGTTGTAGGTATTGAAAAACTAGCCTTTTGATTTCCTAAAGTTTCCATCTTTAAGAATCTGATAATAAATTTAATTTTTTTATATGCTTTCTTGAAAATAATTTTCTCTATTCAAATCACTATTTGAGTGCTTTTTAATACTAAGAACAGTAGAAAAAATTGAAAACAAACCTTGTCGAATCATTTTGGCACCTGCTGTGTGTGTCCGATTAAGTAGTCTTACATAAGTATAAACAGGAGACATTAACTATTTTGAAAAGCAATAAGCTCCTATTGCTTTCGTAAATTCTTTTTTAAGAGAAGCAATTGCTACTCCTTGTAATGTTGCTACATCCTTCCCCGTGCATACATTTATTTGACGATAAAAATTTATTATAAAACATAGTATTTTGAAAATTTACCTTCTAATTATACCATATAAAACTTTTTTGATAAAGTCCTTGAAACTACAGAAAGAAGTCTATTGATAGCAAAAAGAAGGTCAATTATTTATTTCTTAATAAATCAAATATTACTAAATTGTATGAAAGTTCATGCTGTTTCAATAGAAATTATTATATTAGAATAAGTATTAATTGTTTTATCAAAATTGGTTTCACAAACATGAATTTTTTCTAAATTGCACACGTACAAAGATGTTATTTCATTTCTCATACAGTTCATATAGTCTATGGCACGTTCAGCTGACGTTTTGTCACCTTCTAACACTATCTTGCCATAAATGACAATGTCATTAGTTCAAGATTGACAAAAAAATGAGCAAAAAAAAAGAATGTTTCGATTGACAGTTTGATAATTACCATTCCTTCTGTGCATAAACACGCACTTGGTCAATCAACTTTTTTTTTGTCTTATCACTATTAAACCATCGTCGCACGACATGGTGCGCGTGAATGCACATAGTCAGCCTCATTAGATAATTGAGGTATACGTTGAATAGTCAACGATCCGTCAAATGTATATCTCTAAATAAGCAAGTAAAGATCTTCCGTTCAGTCGATAGACACATCTATTTATATCCATAAAAAAACCGTAAAAAGAAAAAAATTACCATCGTTAGACATCTTTACTGTATACATATATATAGATGGGTGTGGACATATCTACGAAGGGTCGTGCACATCTGGGAGGGACAAGTGTATATGTATATACATATATATTTAACGTTGACTACTGAACTATACGCTCGTCAAGGAGGTTAATTGTCTGTCGCAGTTGCTCAATAGTTTGTGTACATATATATTTTAGTCATATTCTTTGCTTTTTTTTTTCGTCTAGTCAATTGTCTCATTGAGTAAGTGACACGTACTATGAACGTATGCAAGCTCTCATGACTCGAAAAGATGGTACCATTTTCTTATAAGTAATAGACAGTTAAGCATACATATATAATATGATATAGATCAATTAGTTTGTTCATTGTTTGAGATTTGAGTGAATATAATTGCCTAAAAAAATGATTTGACAAGTTGTTCATTCAAAAATGAAATGTCAAGTAAGTTCATTGATCATATTTATAATGTTTGAACGTCAAATTTTTTGTTTTTTGTTTTGTTAAATAGACTATAAGAATGACTATATTCCATATAGCTATAAAATTCTATTGGATCCGTCCAGTTACACAGTCTCTATTATATATTTAAAATATTTCATTTACAATGCATAGCTGTTATTCTATTCAAGGTTGATTTATATAAAAAAAAAACATTTTACTCTTTAAGATATTTTTAATCAACAATTTCACACAATAGAAAAGAAAAAAACACTATAAGACACAATGCCACGTTTGACTACAATACCACAAACAACAAATTTTAATGTAGATTGTCCATTATCAAAAGCTGATACTTATGCTGATGCATTACTTCGTACATTATACTCTTTTAAGCTACCTTCATCACCAATGTCGTTATATGCTTGTCGACAGCATCAGCGTCCGTATCCTCAGTCAACAACGGTGTCACAATCGATCGTAAATGAAGTAAGTGGTATTAAAACTTGTATACATACATGCATGTTCGCATACGTACTCTTCATTTTCTCACTCTTATTTTCAAGTGGAAGTTGATGGGCGGAGTACCTCCTTCTTTCTACTTGTGAATATTTGCTAGTTATGTCATACATACAGGACGTAACGATTTTTAGGCTCGAACTGAAATTGAATATCTCTCTAGGTGTCCAAATTCGTTATTTTTGTTCGGTCTATGGTAACAATAAATTGATATTGTTTCGTCATTCTATAGAACTTACAGATTATCATTGTCTCGAAATTCAGGTCACACACACATATATATATATATATGTATGTATGTATATGGCACAAATTATCGAACGAAGAACTACAAAATTGACCTTCGAACGTAGTGTACATTCAAACTCGATTCATCGCCCTCCAAAAAAAGAGAAGTAACAGAGAGAAATCATGTAACTACGTACATATACAAAAGCCAAAATTACAGTTTAAAGTCATTTGCCTATTACTATTCTAGTTTCGACGATTATTGAGTCTCTTGTTATAATGACATAAGCGGTCAAAAAAAAGAATAAAGAAGACTGCGATCACTACGAAATTCAAGTAATCTTTTGATAATTTGACAGAGAAGGAGAGAAAAGAAAAAGAACGACACTGGAGTAGTATCATCTGTTGAACAACGATAAGCCAGGTTCAATATTGACTTGAGATGAAATGACAATAAACGTACATACACACACGAACGAATGCGCGCGAACATGAATTACTCAATTATTTTTTTATTCCGCAATTCTTTACTATGTTTTATAAAGTAAAAGAAAGACGAGGTAGGAAGAGAGAAAGAGAGGAGAGAGTGAATCCTGACTAGTTTGTGGTGAGCGTTGGCATCCGGCTTATGTATGTGTGATGAATTGTGCACATAATATTTATTTTATAAAGACGGTGTACATTTTGTTAAAGAACGAAATGTGTTGGCAGCAAGAATAGAAGGTATGTAGGCGTAGTGATGATTGTAAAAAGTAATAGCACTGAATGTATAAATTTTCTTTTTTCTTTTTTCGTCTTCATTTTATTTCTTTTTTTTTCTTTTACTATTATTTGAATACGTACGACGAGAAGCAGTCACCAACTGGGAACAATAATTCAATTTGACTGCTTCTCAAATTAACTTTAATATCTTTTTCTTTGTTCTTCGTATCGACGATTATTTCTTATCGTCGTCGTTATTCTTTTTGATTACTCAAACTCGAAGAGGTATTGACCGACAGGTAAATAAGTTTTCTTTGTTACTTTATTGAACCTATTCAATATGGGTATGTGTTCATAGTTCGATAAGTTATCGATTCTAACTGATTGAACGTCACGTAAGATTTAGAGCACATGCTGAGTAAATAACAGCGAGCGGTTAGTGAAGTGTGATTGTTTTCGAAAGAAGACACAAGCACTTATACAAACGAATGAATTTGCTAGTGTAAAAACATTCATAAGAAGACGCGAAACAAAGGCAGTAGGAGCAGTAGTATTGAAGCGAAAAAATTCAAGTGTAACGTGCGTGAGTGTGTGTGTGTGTGTGTATTGTTACATGCCGACACTCATTTTTCAAAGCGAATATGTTGCGTCACTATTACTCTTTTTTTATTTGTTGTTGTTTCAAAAAGAATGCTGAAGGTGAAATAATATTTCAAAAAAAAAAATACTAAAATGTCTCTTGGCTTTATGTCGAGTAAATAATCATGATTAATCATCAATTTGAATCGAAACAATTCGGAATATTAAAAATTCTTTTATGGATTTGAAATTAAGTTAAGATTCAGATGTAAAGTTATTGAGTCAGAATCAATGCTCTTTTTTTTTCTAATCGATGGAAATAAAGAGAACAAAGAAAGAATATGCATGGTTGCATGTTCTGTTTGCGCCGTTGAACTCAATCCGTACTTATCGTTCTTAGTTCATTTGACCATTACAAGAAAGGTACTAAATGCGGCTTCGTTTACGCATGCGAATGTATGCGCTCTACGCTCGTGTATATACACTCATGTATGTTTTTATTTTCTTTTTCTCTTTTGCATTTTTTTGCTTTTCTTCTTTGCATACTGTACTTGAAAACTGAAAGAAAGAAAAGGCGATTTAATTTCTAAAGAATCGACAAATGAAATGAGAGAAATAAAAATGAAAGAAAGAATATATATATACTACCGCAGAAAAAAAAATAACAAATAAATAGTGTAATAGACCATATTCAAATATGCATAGTAGTAAAACGTTTGTTGTCGTTGCGGTTGTCATCATTTTACATTTCTAATTTTTTACAATCGTCGTCTAGTTGACAAAAATAAAATCACAAGTTACCAATAGAACACTTGTAACTAGCTTTTTGATTGATAAGAAGAAAAAAAAAACGAGAAGAGAGAAAGAAATAAAACGACAGGGATAAATGAAAGGAACAAAGTTGAGATTTGGTTTCTGTTGCTCATAGATGGTTTATACACGTAAGGAAAATATTGATTTTGATCTTCCTTGGTTTCATTCAATCACATGCTTTTGCTGTCTCGTACGTCTGCTCATATATCCTGAAGGTCATTGAAAGCAATAGACAGACAGCCGATCTTTTCTTCAATGTTTTCGTGCGAATTATCGAAAGAGAACGAAATGTATATGTTCATTACCTTATCTATTCATATTCATTGTCTTCTACATATACATGAACATGAACGAATGTACGCGCGTTCATCTTGTTTACATGCGACTTAAAGATTTTTTCGTTGATATTTCTCTTTCTCGTTCTTCATACATAAATATGGCTTTGATTAGTTTCAAGCATTGATTTTATCTTTTTTTTACAACTCATCCCTTTTCCTTTCTTGTCGCTTTCTCTCTCTCTCTCTTTTTCCGTTGTTGTCTTTGACCATCGAATAGTAGACACATACATAGACTCATCTTTTCTTTCTTTATCTTATTTTTGTGCGTGTGTGGTCAAGGCGATTACGATTATACCCGATTAAACAAACAGTACATAGTAAGATTTTGTTTGAATGAACATGAATTTTGAAATATCTTCACCGAGCACAATGGTAAGTTTTATTGTTATTTATTGTAATATGTTTATAATTAAGAAACAATAGAAAATGAAATACCTGTATGTTGGAAAAATAAATGAAACTTTTTCTCTTCTTCTTTTTGTCACTTGATGTTATTTTTACTGGAATTCACCTTCGAGGTTATTGCTGCTTTTGTGGCGGTAATGTTTTGCAGGCATCATCTCTTTACAATCCCCACACATGCACACACATAACTTGAAGAAGCAAAGAAAAGCAAATAGAACACACAAAATGTCTTCGTATTCTTCATCTTTTATTTCAAGAGTTGACGGCAAACATGCGCTTTCATTCATATTTAAGCTTGAGGGTTTGAATACAATGGTACCATGAAGGTTAATGATTTTCTCATTACGTTTGTCAATGCATGAACATAGAGAAAGAAAAAGTTCAATCTTATGTAGAGACAGTTCTTTCTTTCACTCTTCATTTTTACTTTTGCACACTTTTTATACCTCGAACTTGACATAAAATAGTAGAAAAAAAAAGAAGAACTTCTTCATTCTTCACTCCCATTACATTGTCGTAGGATAGAAAAGAACACGCGTCGAACTGCAAAAAAAAAAGAAAAAATCGAGAAGAAATAAAGAATAAAATAACGGTAGAAGCCCAGTGCACCCAACTTTTTTTTTTTTACATTTTTTTCCCTTTGCTCATTGTGTTCCTTTTCATTTCTGTATTCCCCTTTTTTTTTGAAACCATGCTAAGAGGCAGCTGTGACACATCAACTACAAGTTAATCAGTCACTATTACATGAATAATATTTTTTCTAGTTAGTGAACGGCTCTTCAGATAATCAACAATCATTAGCTGATCCTTCTTCGTTATCCTCTTCATCGTCATCATTATTTAGTTCACCATCATCATCTTCATTAACTAATACGAGTGCAAATTATTTTACACTCGAAGCACATTTACCATTAGTTAAAAATAAAGTTGAACAATTAGAAAAATTCAAACGATTACTTTCTCGTTTGGATAACGTTTATAATTCTAATAATAATCAAAAGATGTCAACATCAGCTTTACCACCACCATCACCAGCACATATTACTGATCGTTATCTATTTCGTTCACCTTCAAATGATAATCGACTATCAAGAAAATCATCAACAACAACAAAAAAAACTAAATTACACAATATTCCAACATCATCATCATCAACACCACCATCAGCAAGAAAACGTTATAAATTTTCATCTGGTACAACTGATCAAAATAATAATAATATTTATAAATTTCCTAATGAACATACTGAAGCACGATCACATTCAACAGATTCTGATCGATATTATTTTCCTTCAAATGATTCAACTAAACAACCACAACAAACATTAACATATATTCGTTCTGGTAATGGATTAGAATCACATAAAATAACTTTTATTAATGGAACATCATCAACGACTGATAAAACTTTATTACCAATAACAAAGTCAATACAACCAACGTCTATTATACCTGATACACCTTATCTGTTTTCAAAGACGACAGAATCTCATCCACATTCAACTCTAACATCACCAGCTAACCCAGAAGGTAAGATTGACGTAGTTACCAAAGACAAATAAAGCAGAAAAAAAAGATAAAGGAAAGATAAATTCAAGTTGCTATTTTTATTAGTCTCGTATGGACTGGGCATCCTTTCTAAATAACTTAATCTTATCCTATTCTTTTTGTTTTTTTTCTGTCAAGATGCATGGATACATCAACGTCAGCAACCACAAATTGTCTTTGATAGCATAACTGATTTATCACCAAGTTCACAATTAAAACGTCCACGTACATCAAGTACAAGTCCTGAACATCGACAAACAACAAAACGTTCACCAGTACGTATGGATACAATAACATCAACAAATGGTTCATTATCAACATTAAGACGATCACCACCAAATAAAATTCAAAATGTTCGTTTTGATCCATCATCAACACAACGTTCATATTTAGATGAAGCACGGGAACGTTTAGCTGGTAAAAAACGTGGACGTTCACCACAAGCATTTCAACAATCAGTTGATCGTCTTGTTTCATCAACAAATCAAAAATATCTTCAGCAACAACAAATTCTTTCACCACCAATACCATTTCAACAACAACATGATTATATTAGTCAATATTATGCACAAGAAGAACCACCTATTGATTATCCAATGGATAGTGATGATGATGAACAACAAAAACGTCCATTTATATATAATCGTGGTTTAAATACAAATCGTACACATACACAAATTATGAAAAATGTTAATAAAAGTTTACTTGATGGTAATTATTTAGCTGATGTTAATCGTATTAAACAATTAGATCAAACTTTTCATCGATATTTACGTTCACTTGAAAATCAATCATTACAACGTGAATTAAATTATGATTTAATACGTTGTTTTTCATCAACATATTTAGATGATTTACGACGCGAAGAAAATCGAAATTTTCAAACACGTAGTAATATGCGTTCATATACATATGAAGATATACAAGATATACATATGTCACCAACTTTAGAAGCATATAAAATGAAACGAGCTATTGATAGAGAAAGACGTCTTCGATTAAGTACAAGTTTTGATGGACAAATAACATCATCAACACCAACATCATCAATTGGTGCTGGACTTTTATCACCATTATTATCATCACATAGTCCAATTATGACTGGAAGTTTAAATGAAAATATGGATGTACAATCAGGTGGTTTTGAAACTGATCGTCGATCACAAAAATCACATACTTCAGTAAGTATTATTCTTATTTCGTAACTACCTCAATTCCTTTTTGCATTCACTCGATAAACAGAAGTTTCAATTATTATATTGCTTCAAGGGTTCATTTAGCTTTTAGTCTTATAAAAAAAAAAAAAGAATTGTCTAATGTTCATCTTTCGACATAGTTTATCTTTGTACTTATGTCACTATTTATGAAAGTATTAAGACATATCAAGTTTCTGTTTGATAAATGATCGATCAATTCTTACATAATCTAATCTTTTAATATAACCGACAAGTGAAGGTTGTTTTATATTCAATAGATTAGAAAAATAAATTTATTTCATAGTAAAAACC